TTTCGAGCATCTATCAGTGTGGTAGAGGCTGCCGAGATCCATTGTTTCTCCCTGACCTTATGGCTTACCTTACTGCTGTTTCCACAGCTTTTCGGAAGTCATTCCACGCTGCCTCGGGGTGGACACAACTTACATGGCTGCCTAACTGTTTTTCTAGTTGTTCTTGAAATATATTCTTAGCTTGCCTATCATTAAGTAGAACCCTTAGAGGCTTCCCTACAGTGTCTTTCCTACGTTCAGTAAGACGCAGACAGATACGTGCTCGCACTAGAGCATGATCTGAGTCTAAACATGTGCTCCAGAATGAGCGACAGTTTTCTATCGAGCCCCTCCATCGGTGGCTGATAGCGATGTGATCTAATTGGGTCCAACGTTGGGACGAATTCGGGGGTCGCCATGTCAAAGGATGTTTTTGTTAAGTCGGCTTCCAGCGAACTCCAACAGAGCCTCCAGAGGCTGAAAAAGAGTCCTAACCAATCAGGGTACGACAAAACCTTCTGGAGTTCCAACGTGGCACGCTACCATTGGTCAGTAGCAATATATGTCGTTAATTGGATTGGCTGAATTAGGATGTTGATTTAACTTAAGCAAACATCTATAAATACCTACGATTTTCTGTACAAAAATGATCCCTGCAGTAAAGGTTTTCTCTGTTACTCGTGTCTTCTCTCTGGTCTTCGAGTTGCTGAGTAGTGCTAGTCTGGGGGTTATCCGAATAGCGTAAGATCTGAATAAAGCGTTCAACCTACAAGACATAACAGTTTTTCCTTATGCTTAAAGTTAGTATTTGCAAGAAATAGGCGGTTATCTGAGCACAGCTGCAACAGACGGTCGCCATTATCTGTCATTTTAGCCACTACACCATAAGATCCACCCAGGTGTCTTTCCCTTTCAATTAGTTTACCTACTTGAGCATTAAAGTCACCAGCCACTATTACTACATCAGAACGCCTAGCTTTTCGGAGAAGGTCAGAAAGTTTCCTGTAAAACTCATCTTTTATATCGTCTGAGCTGCAGTCAGTGGGAGAGTAGGCAGAGACGACGAAGAGTCAACGACGAGTTTCCCTATCTTTTCGAGTCCTTACTGATCCGTTTAGTTGGACAGCGCATAGACGACTGTCTACTGGGATCCAGTCTAAAAGAGCTAGTTCTGCCCTAGGACTTAATGCTATACCTACTCCAGTGAGGCCACAGGAAGCAGCATCAGGGCTTCCAGATACACGAAGCGTGTATATAGATGGTTCTTTATTTTGATTAGGTGAGGTCAAATGAATGACACTACTCAGATCTTGTATGCGCGTTTTGGAGACGCAGCACACATCGATGGTGTAAGATTTTAAAGTCCTAGCTTAGGAAGCCTGTTGTCCTATTTGGCACAATGTTCGGACATTAAAAGTTCCTACATGTAGTTTAGAGCGTGGTTTCAGAAGACCTCGAAAAACGTTCCGTGTACTTGGATCGTTTGCCCTAGCGGTGCAAGGTGATAAAATGAAGTGGGAAGGGTTAGTCGTGGAGATAAGAGAGTTGTTGGGAGGTGTAGGAAGGATTTGAAAGCGACCAACTTGGTCTTGTGTGCAGTTATGGGTATGAGGGCTAGTATCACTTCCCGGCTGCCCACACCGTGGAAGGGTATTTCTTGAGGGACCTGAAAAAGAAGTTGGATTAATATTGGTCTTAACGACCTGGGAGCGTGACCGCAGTGCCCAAGGGACAACTGCTTGAGGCCAGTGACGCACGGCCTTTTTGTGGGGGATTTTTGACGTGTTAGCTCCGTTCTTCAAAAGTCCTTACCGCCGGAGACGGAAATCCGTGGGATAAGGCGAGGTGTGCATTTTTAGGGTCGACCTTTTCTAACCCCACCCCTCCTTATGGGAAGGCAGTATCGCTATCATGCTGGTTGTCTGAAGGAAACACCTTACTGCCGTCACACCTCTATACGGTCAGCAGTACGACTTCGCTTTCGGACCTTGGGATTGCTGCTTTTAGTCTTACCGCTCTTCAACCGACCTGTGTGGCATGGTAAGACCTCGAGGAACGATTGTTCCAGCCAGCATAGCTCGATTGCTTCATCACGATAGGCAAGCCCAACCAACACGTCAAGGTAGCAGCAACGGTTTTTATTAGAAACGAAATTATGATTATAGATATACAATCCGCACACAGAGGGTTATTAGCATTTGTTCAACAGGGAAGCTACACGTAGTGCTTCAGGAATATTCTTTCAAAAGCTGTTTGGATGAAATATGTTCGGCTCCTTTTGAGCTTCATAGAGCTTCCTGAAGTTCGCTTGTGGACCGTCCTCACAGAAGGTTTGTGTGATCATGTATGATTGTTCAAGAGTTTGAACTAGTAAAGTGAAGAGAATGTCAAGTTAATGATGTCAACTATTTCGCTACTTTTTTCAAATAACTTGTTGCTGTGTAAAAAATATAATTGTGTCTTTAAATCTAGAACAGGATTCAAGTTCCATGTTGTTATTAGGATCAATAGCGATGAAGATGCCTAACTGTTTGAAACGTAAGTGAATACAAACCAGCTCTAGGATGGAAGATAAAGGTGTTGAATCAATCTTTTCCGATGGACTAAATGTGGTGCGAAATAGTTTTAACCAGTCAACAAAAAGAATTGTGAATGCAGTTTAGGAATATGCAACTTAGTAGTTTAGAGTTAGTTTCAGAGGTATTTGTTTTACTCAAGAGATAACACTAGCTAGAGCATTGTAATAGGTTTATAAGGATTATTATGTGTCAGTAGTTAGTGTATACAAGCAAAGAATATCTGTGTTTCAAATGCTTGAAAGCTGATCATGCAATTGAAATTTGAATAACAACAGAAATTAGTGAACATCCACTGTTGTAGATTGATGATGGAAGTTCTTATGTAAGTCGAGTAAGTTGTTTAACAAATAATGCAAACCGTAACAATGAGAATAGTTGTACTTATTCCAGGTATAAGACTAAAAAATGCTGATATCACTTCATAAAATCATGTTGTGATAAAAGTGGCTTTGTATTCTAAATTGAATTCTTATACAGAGTATGTTAATGAAGAATCAAATGATTTAAAAGTTTGTTCAATATCACATGTTAGAAACCTTGAATGACATGGCTCAAAATCGTTTGCAAAGACTCAACTATCGGCTTCCCCGACGTGCAATGTCTTATGGCGTAGGAGTATGTTGGAAGAAAGCTAAGGGCGAACAGATCAAAACGTTGCACAAATCCATGAAGTCACTGGCGATTGGAGTGCGCCATGTTGGTAGGTGTAGACTACGTGGTTGGGTTCCTCGAGATGATAGTAATCGATAGTTAGAGACCTTGAATGACATGGCTCAAAATCATTTACGATGACGAAGGTGTATCTACTCTTTGTGTTCTACCAACTTCTAATCTTCTGAGTTCCTCATGTCTCTATCTTTTTCTCTTTTCAAATTTATTTCACTGGATTATATTCCTTGAATAACATCTTCAAATCATAATCTTTCCGATTACTGCTTATACTCTTACTAGTTCTACCACTATGGGATTTGAATCGACAACTGAATCTCTGTGCTAATGTGGTATGGCAACTCGAACTGATGTACGTTTGTGCGTACGAAGTTCTACGTTGTGACTGACTGTCATGAAGTAAAAGACACTAACATTAGCAAATTTACCGATTATTTACAAGGTTATTTTAGTTTTATTATATCATCCGGTGTAGGTGACGCCCAGGTTAATGTATAGTCGACAGTTAATATCAAACAGTTCTTTATGTTTTTCTAATATTACACCATAAAACATTGCACGTCGGGTCAGCGGATAGTTGAGCATACGTAACACATGTTCCAGCCATCTAAACTAATAAAGTTTCACTACTTCATCATTCGATTTGCCATCTTTACCTAGTACCCGTTTTCTTAACAACAGCATTACTTACTCGGTTGTCCCAGGATTCAAGCAATCTATATTATATCTAAACAATCTATCTTTTAATAATTCGTTATAACTGTAATCAAACACTATCAACTCATTCCTATTCATAATTATGATAATATTTATCCTTATTACTTACTTACTTATCCCTGTTACCCCTTGTGGAGGAGCATAGGCCGCCCACCAGTATTCTCTATCCATCTTTGTCCTGGGCAATCCTTTCCAGTTGTTATTCATCCTTTTCATATCTGCTTTTATTTCTCGGCGTTATGTGTTCTTTGGCATTCCTCTTTTACAAGTTACGGCTCGCCTCGTGATGCAGTTTAATGATTTCCTTAAAGTATGCCCTATCCACTTCCAACGTCTTTTCCTAATTTCCTGTTTAGCTTGAAGCTATTATGTCCTCTCCCATAAAACGCTGTTGTTGATAGTATCCGGTCAGTGATTGTTGATAATTTTTGCGTAAACAAGTGTTTATAAATACTTGTACATTCTTGACGATAGATGTAGTAGTACTCCTTATGGGTTAAGGTAATTTTACATTAGTTTTCAAGAGAACCAGACACTCTTCAAATTTTTACTTGACAACTTAAACAATATACTTACTTACTTACTTACGCCTGTTACCCCTCGTCGAGGAGCATAGGCCGCTCACCAGCATTCTCCATCCAACTCTGTCCTGAGCCTTCCTTTCCAGTTGCTATTCATCCTTTTCATATCGGCTTCTATTTCCCGGCGTAGTATGTTCTTTGGTCTTCCTCTTTTCCACTTCCCTTCCAGATTCCAAGTTAGGGATTGAGTCGTGATACACATTGGTGATTTCCTTAATGTATGTCCAATCCATAATATAGCTTAATCCTATTTTATATAAGAGCAAGACATTACTCAAAACTTAATCTATATAGTACAATTCAATCCTATTTCATTCCCATTATGAAGAAAAGAAAAAAAGGACTTTTTTTTTGTTCATCTCATTAAAATTTATTTATACACTACAATAATTAAACTAAATATAAATAAGAGAAAAAAAAATAACCGAAAAAAAAAGAAAAAAAACACGAGAAAAGAAAAAAAAGAAAGAAAAATTTATGGATTTATACGAGCACGATCGATTATTAATGTAGTCTGTTTTCGATGACACATATAAATTATTCCAACTAGAATGATTGTTAATAATATACCCCCAACAACTATTGGAATAATAATCCAAAGGTAATTTACTATAAAAAAAAATTAATAAGGAAACAAACAAAAAAAAGAAATATAATTAAATTTATATAAGCAGGAAGGGGGGATATATTCAATATTAATCTAATGGTATAATGTAAGTTGCCTTCTCGTGGTGAGGTGGGGTGTTGTTTACGAAATTGAGAAGATGAAAAGCGAATATTCAGCGCTTTAGTCGGGTTGGTGGACATGGAAAGTTCACCTAGGGGAGTTGAAAAACCTTGATTTCAAACCAATGGTGCACACGGACTCCAGGATCCTAAGGGAAGAAATGGCTTATGAATAAATCGTTGGTCACCGGCTGCCATGGGACTGCATCTCCTTACGATGCTCCACTGCCTTGTGGATCAGACCTTTAAGTGGAAGTCTCCGGGTGTGTCCCCCTAAGAAAACCACCTGCTTTGGTTTGGGCACGTGAGCAGTATCACAGCCCTCACACCAATGGAATGAGATTTGTGTGGCGCATATATGTCTGGTGCCCCTTTGTACCAATATTTATCCGGTTTAATAAATAACTAAATAATAAATAATGTAAGTTGCATGTAACCTGTTATTTATATAAAAATACTTGTATGTTAATACTTCACCTGTAGCCCCTCTGGTGGTTACTGACGGTCCTAAGCCCGAATAAAGGAGGAGGGTTGGGCATGGGCTTAGTGACCCAAAGAACACATTACGCTAAGAAATGGAGACAGGCGCAGGACAGAGTGGGTTGGAGAATGCTGATCAGCTGCCTATTCTCCACTGGGAGTAACAGACGTAAGTAAGTACTTGTATACAGTTATCAAGGTTAGTGGATAATGGAATTGAATGACTCAAATATGAGAATAAGGTTTGAATACGTATATGTCGTACAATTGTTGATCGGGAATGGAAGCAAGACCAAATAACACGCAATGGAGAAGGCGAGTGAGCCAATTCGATTTAATCAAACGTTATTCAATATTTACAGAAATGAACACACGTACATTTGCATATAAACAGTCATGGTTGATAAGCGAATAATTAACAAGGTAAACATGTGAATGATGAATGAACTAGTATGTTCGATAGGAATGATTACATTATATGGGCTTGACATGGTACTACACATTACAAGCTAAATAAATGTGCATGAATGCAAAATAATTTACTAAGATAAAGAGACTAACCTGTTGTCTTAGATTGCTTGACTGCTATATGGTAGTTAAAAAAGAAAAAGAAGATAAGAAATAGTCAATTCATAAAATGATCAATTAAACTCATAGGATCACTACCCGTTTCAGTGAACTCAAACAAGTACAAAACAACAATAAAAACATGAATTACCCTATTAGGTTTTATACAGAGAGTATAATTGTATCTAATGTAATGTGTATATGGATATTGGTAATTGTAATGGTTTTATTGATTGTATTTTAACTTAATGTTGGATATGAATATGAATCTGATCTGATCAAGTCATCATGAATAGATATTAATAAAGGTATAAAATGAAACTCACTTGTAGTTTTCAGTATAGTCGTTTCTATATTTTGATGTAAAAAATAGTGGACAGAAGATTAATTCATAGATAAATGTGTTAGTTCAAAATGAGATAGATTAATATACACCACGGATTGGGCACACTTTGAGGAAATCACCCAATTGTGTCACAAGACAAGCCCTCACATGGAATCCTGAAGGTCGAAGGAGAAGAGGAAGACCATAGAACACATTACGCCGAGAAATAGAGACAGACATGAGAAGAATGAACAAGAACTGGAAAGAACTAGAAAAGAAGGCTCAGGACAGAGTGGGTTGGAGAAAGCTGGTCGGCGGCCTATGCTCCATTGGGAGTAACAGGCGAAAGTAAGTAAGTAAGTAATATACACCACAATCATCTTAAACGTAGATGCTTGTTTAACATGATGTTTTCATTTTCCTACCCTAATTACTTGATTAAGCTGCATTTGTTAGAATACTCGTCCCTTTATGTTCTATCATACCAGACTGGTTGACTAGAAAATGATAGAAGGAAAAGCAGAAACTTTAAGCTCTAAAGTGCAATCATACTTTTGGCTGTATGGAGGTGTGATGGGTGAAAGGTATATTCTTCAGACAATCAACATATAGAGCGATCATGCTTTCTACCAAATGAACGAAGGAGTTTTCCTAACTCTTTTTCTACCCCTTTATCAACCACTCACTTAGTCGAATAGCTTAATTGCTTTTTTTAATTGATTCCACGAACTGCTATAAGTTAGACAATGAAAATCTCAGAGAGCTAGATACATTATTCGTTCTTGTATAGGACTCCCTAGAGGTACACACCTATAACACCACAACCGAAAATCGGACGCATGCACGAACACCTAACCTATAAACCACTAAGTTGAATTCTGAAATTCTAAAGCTAATCAGTAGACTGTATTGCGAAATCATCCTCCATGGTGTTCGGTGGGTGACGTCCTTGCAATAATTTCGATAATAACTGTAGAATGTTCTTATTCCCTTCTATAATTTACTCTCTCTGGTCTTGTTTATTTACATTTGTGATAGTCCGATATATTTAGTTTAAAAGAAAACAAAATTCATTTACTAACTTTTAGTTTCTATATTAGATAACTTCAGTCCGGTTTGTTTGTCCGATTTCTTGATACCAGAATTAACAATATTTGTAAATGTTTCTGCAGTTAGATCTTTTGCTTGTGGTGATGGAATTTCTATGTTTGCTGTTCCTTGGATACCTTGTTGTGTATTTTGATCTACGATTGTGTTTGCCTGTCTCTTCTGACGTTTGGATAACTCAACTGGTGTGAATGTAACATTAGTACACTTTGCATCAGTTGACAATGATGGATTTTCAACTTTCAAACTATTCATTAGCTGTAAATTGAATGAAAACATAACAAGTTACTAATAAGTTAGTTTCTCAAATTGACTTTTCAATCAATATATTACAAAATGAAAAAAATCATCGTGTTTTGAAAAGGTATGAGAGACAATAATTCCTAAGCATTGGTTATAAATGCCAATCCCTAAGCATTACTACTTGCTTACTTACTTACGCCTGTTACTCCCAATGGAGCATAGGCCGCCGACCAGCTTTCTCCAACCCATTAATGCTACAAATATATATTGCTACTGAATAAGAAATTTTCAATGAAATTTCCACACTTTCTCTCAAATCTAGTCTCGGTAATGTCAGTTTGAAATTCATTGCATATTGTCCCTACTAGACAAGTATGACTCCTTAATATGAATATGATAACTAATGAAACCTGTTAGTTAAAAAAGTGCAATTACTAATTTTGAGTATTGGATTGTGGAGATTGTTAAGTTTTTTATTGAGATCATGAATCGATTGATGTTAGACGACCTGGAAGCATCGGATGGCCGGGTGACACTATAATTTATGGACAATCTTTGAGCGATTGTAGATTGACCTTGAGAGTATCCATCTAATAACCAAGACCAAATAAAGGTTATAAACATGTGTGGGGAATTATAGTTATGATTAAGGTTAGGAATTAGATTTCCAGCTTTCATCACGAACTGACATCAACTATAATACCAAAACTCTATTAATTCAAATGGATGAGAGAATTTCGTGCCCAGATCAGAAACCTGTTATGTTATACGTGATTGGTTCGTCCATAAATTATGATCTCCTCGACGGCCGTTTCGTCATAGTATCAGAATCCTCAGCCGTGCGCATCCATTGTCGCGCACGTGGTTCCTACTTGAATTCTACAGAAAATTTTATAATTCTATAACAGTTTATTCACTGAATACATGACATATTTCCAAGTGAATCAATCAATGCCCAACTGGAAAAATTAACAAGCTAAGTGTTGGAACTGATTTAGGTGGCTAATATGAAGTCTTGAATTACATTTACATTTACTACATATAATTAACTGTCTATTGAATATATATTTACAAAAATCTTATCACAATAATACACCCACCGTATCACAAAATGAAGTTGCCAGTTTAATGTAAGCTGGAGTGGTTGTATTCGTCAATTCATGTGACCAATATTGTGGAGAGCTTTCATTATCCGTAGATAGTACTGACTTCACTTCAAATGTATGTACTACAGAAGTATACAGAAAAGAAAATTAAGTAATGAGTTTCTGTAAACAACACAGTCATGATATCGAGAAGCAAATCAAGGTTAAAGTATAGAACTTATAATGGAAATGAGTCGTTTGAACGAAAAACATACATTCATAATAATTAGGGGAATTATATAACAAGACCTATAGTTGACGATTGCGTATGGAGATAAGTGTATCATTCAATGTAATAGAGAAATCAGGTTGAAGATCATAATTATGTATTGTAATAAAAATAGCAACTGCAAATACAACAGAACTGGGGAAAGATTGCAAAAAGAATCCGAAAATGGTACACTGGAAAAGGCAAAGAAAAAAGAAATACAAAATTGAAAGAACAGAAGGGAATACTGATTGAGAAAACGGTTAAAAGGATCGACAGGCCAGTTCAAATAAGGGGAAGAGAATGAAAGAAGTGGGAAGGAATAAAAGTAAAAAATTTAAAAATTCGTGAAAAGCCGTTTATGAGAAAGAAAAGGGAAACAGTGACAGAAAGAGAGCGAGAGGAAGGGAATGTTGTAAATCTTGGAGAATATGAGTAAGGTAATGATAAATTCAACCGTGAAATATGTATAACATGAGTAGCTCAACGTATGAGCATATGGAGAAATTTGGTAAGATTATGAGATAAGACGAATGCACGAGTGAATGGGTGAAAGAGATGGTGACTCCGGTGATTGTAAAGTGACGAAACGTGCGTTAAAAGTCATGAATATACCACTAATACTTCAGAAACACCAATGAAAATGTGTCAAAAAATACAGAAAGGTAAAATTGTAAAGTAGTGAATTCATGAATGGCAATTCAACGTATTCGACAATATTGCTGACAGATAATAAATCTTTCACATCTTCAAATGCACACTGAAAATGAATGAATAACAAGGGTTAATCAAGTTGTCAGTGCACACACACACACACGAATATTGCACTTGACAATGAAAGTAATCAAATGAGATTGAGTTGTGCGTGTCGAGTGATCAATGAATGTTGTGTGATTGTGAAGTAGTTAAGTGTGAATGTACGGAGAGTGAGAGTGTGTGATGGAGGTTGTGAGGTGGAAACACAGACGGTAGACGAACAGACAAACAGACAGAAGGACAGTGAGGCAGATCGGCAGATAGACCGATTGACAGGCAGACAGACAGACAGAACAGTAATCGGCAAGGTGATTGTGAGACGACCGACGTTGTTGTTGTTGTGAATGGAGAGGGAGATTGTGAGCGATGGTGAGATGAGAATGGGGAATTTGTGCGATTCCACTATATGAAAATCAATTTATACGTGTGAGTATTTATAAATGTACATATTGTCATATAAATACACATGGAGGGAATGTGGTATATGTAGAGGAATGTGATTGAAGCAATGATTGATTTGATTGTGAAATGTGTTCCATGTGGGAGGTTTGATGGTTGTGTATGTGGAGAATTGAGGTGAATGGAATAGAGAGATTGATTGAGTGATGGAATGATGGATTGGTTGAATTGTTGGTTGATTGGTTGATTGGTTGATAGATGGATTGATAGGATGATAGAGTGAGTGAGAGATTGAGTGAATGAATGAATGAGTGGGTGAGTGGGTGGGTGGGTGATTGATTGAGTGACTGTGTGAGTGAGTGAGTGAGTGAGTGAGTGTGTTTCACAATGTTTGTGTGTGTATTGATAAGTGTGTGAGTGTGTGGTTGTATGTGTATGAATTAGTGTGTTTGTGTGTAGTTGTACGGTGCAGATAGTTGACAAGTGTGTGAGATAATGCAAACAGCATGAAATTACAGTGATGCAAATGAATGATGGAATACTCACCGTCTTTATCATTGTCGTTGGGTTGATCACCACCTTGATCACCACCGTCAGCATCTACATCAACATCTACAAGGTGATTGATTGAAAAGAGTCAGTCAACTGGTCAATGCACGCACACACACACACACACACACGAAAATTGCACTTGACAATGAAAGTAATCAAATGAGATTGAGTTGTGCGTGTCGAGTGATCAATGAATGTTGTGTGATTGTGAAGTAGTTAAGTGTGAATGTACGGAGAGTGAGAGTGTGTGATGGAGGTTGTGAGGTGGAAACACAGACGGTAGACGAACAGACAAACAGACAGAAGGACAGTGAGGCAGATCGGCAGATAGACCGATTGACAGGCAGGCAGACAGACAGAACAGTAATCGGCAAGGTGATTGTGAGACGACCGACGTTGTTGTTGTTGTGAATGGAGAGGGAGATTGTGAGCGATGGTGAGATGAGAATGGGGAATTTGTGCGATTCCACTATATGAAAATCAATTTATACATGTGAGTATTTATAAATGTACATATTGTCATATAAATACACATGGAGGGAATGTGGTATATGTAGAGGAATGTGATTGAAGCAATGATTGATTTGATTGTGAAATGTGTTCCATGTGGGAGGTTTGATGGTTGTGTATGTGGAGAATTGAGGTGAATGGAATAGAGAGATTGATTGAGTGATGGAATGATGGATTGGTTGAATTGTTGGTTGATTGGTTGATTGGTTGATAGATGGATTGATAGGATGATAGAGTGAGTGAGAGATTGAGTGAATGAATGAATGAGTGGGTGAGTGGGTGGGTGGGTGATTGATTGAGTGACTGTGTGAGTGAGTGAGTGAGTGAGTGAGTGAGTGTGTTTCACAATGTTTGTGTGTGTATTGATAAGTGTGTGAGTGTGTGGTTGTATGTGTATGAATTAGTGTGTTTGTGTGTAGTTGTACGGTGCAGATAGTTGACAAGTGTGTGAGATAATGCAAACAGCATGAAATTACAGTGATGCAAATGAATGATGGAATACTCACCGTCTTTATCATTGTCGTTGGGTTGATCACCACCTTGATCACCACCGTCAGCATCTACATCAACATCCACAATGTGATTGATTGAAAAGAGTCAGTCAACTGGTCAATGCACGCACACACACACACACACGAAAATTGCACTTGACAATGAAAGTAATCAAATGAGATTGAGTTGTGCGTGTCGAGTGATCAATGAATGTTGTGTGATTGTGAAGTAGTTAAGTGTGAATGTACGGAGAGTGAGAGTGTTTGATGGAGGTTGTGAGGTGGAAACACAGACGGTAGACGAACAGACAAACAGACAGAAGGACAGTGAGGCAGATCGGCAGATAGACCGATTGACAGGCAGGCAGACAGACAGAACAGTAATCGGCAAGGTGATTGTGAGACGACCGACGTTGTTGTTGTTGTGAATGGAGAGGGAGATTATGAGCGATGGTGAGATGAGAATGGGGAATTTGTGCGATTCCACTATATGAAAATCAATTTATACATGTGAGTATTTATAAATGTACATATTGTCATATAAATACACATGGAGGGAATGTGGTATATGTAGAGGAATGTGATTGAAGCAATGATTGATTTGATTGTGAAATGTGTTCCATGTGGGAGGTTTGATGGTTGTGTATGTGGAGAATTGAGGTGAATGGAATAGAGAGATTGATTGAGTGATGGAATGATGGATTGGTTGAATTGTTGGTTGATTGGTTGATTGGTTGATAGATGGATTGATAGGATGATAGAGTGAGTGAGAGATTGAGTGAATGAATGAATGAGTGGGTGAGTGGGTGGGTGGGTGATTGATTGAGTGACTGTGTGAGTGAGTGAGTGAGTGAGTGAGTGTGTTTCACAATGTTTGTGTGTGTATTGATAAGTGTGTGAGTGTGTGGTTGTATGTGTATGAATTAGTGTGTTTGTGTGTAGTTGTACGGTGCAGATAGTTGACAAGTGTGTGAGATAATGCAAACAGCATGAAATTACAGTGATGCAAATGAATGATGGAATACTCACCGTCTTTATCATTGTCGTTGGGTTGATCACCACCTTGATCACCACCGTCAGCATCTACATCAACATCTACAAGGTGATTGATTGAAAAGAGTCAGTCAACTGGTCAATGCACGCACACACACACACACACACGAAAATTGCACTTGACAATGAAAGTAATCAAATGAGATTGAGTTGTGCGTGTCGAGTGATCAATGAATGTTGTGTGATTGTGAAGTAGTTAAGTGTGAATGTACGGAGAGTGAGAGTGTTTGATGGAGGTTGTGAGGTGGAAACACAGACGGTAGACGAACAGACAAACAGACAGAAGGACAGTGAGGCAGATCGGCAGATAGACCGATTGACAGGCAGGCAGACAGACAGAACAGTAATCGGCAAGGTGATTGTGAGACGACCGACGTTGTTGTTGTTGTGAATGGAGAGGGAGATTGTGAGCGATGGTGAGATGAGAATGGGGAATTTGTGCGATTCCACTATATGAAAATCAATTTATACATGTGAGTATTTATAAATGTACATATTGTCATATAAATACACATGGAGGGAATGTGGTATATGTAGAGGAATGTGATTGAAGCAATGATTGATTTGATTGTGAAATGTGTTCCATGTGGGAGGTTTGATGGTTGTGTATGTGGAGAATTGAGGTGAATGGAATAGAGAGATTGATTGAGTGATGGAATGATGGATTGGTTGAATTGTTGGTTGATTGGTTGATTGGTTGATAGATGGATTGATAGGATGATAGAGTGAGTGAGAGATTGAGTGAATGAATGAATGAGTGGGTGAGTGGGTGGGTGATTGAGTGATTGAGTGAGTGACTGTGTGAGTGAGTGAGTGAGTGAGTGAGTTTCACAATGTTTGTGTGTGTATTGATAAGTGTGTGAGTGTGTGGTTGTATGTGTATGAATTAGTGTGTTTGTGTGTAGTTGTACGGTGCAGATAGTTGACAAGTGTATGAGATAATGCAAACAGCATGAAATTACAGTGATGCAAATGAATGATGGAATACTCACCGTCTTTATCATTGTCATTGGGTTGATCACCACCTTGATCACCACCGTCAGCATCTACATCAACATCTACAAGGTGATTGATTGAAAAGAGTCAGTCAACTGGTCAATGCACGCACACACACACACACACACACGAAAATTGCACTTGACAATGAAAGTAATCAAATGAGATTGAGTTGTGCGTGTCGAGTGATCAATGAATGTTGTGTGATTGTGAAGTAGTTAAGTGTGAATGTACGGAGAGTGAGAGTGTGTGATGGAGGTTGTGAGGTGGAAACACAGACGGTAGACGAACAGACAAACAGACAGAAGGACAGTGAGGCAGATCGGCAGATAGACCGATTGACAGGCAGGCAGACAGACAGAACAGTAATCGGCAAGGTGATTGTGAGACGACCGACGTTGTTGTTGTTGTGAATGGAGAGGGAGATTATGAGCGATGGTGAGATGAGAATGGGGAATTTGTGCGATTCCACTATATGAAAATCAATTTATACATGTGAGTATTTATAAATGTACATATTGTCATATAAATACACATGGAGGGAATGTGGTATATGTAGAGGAATGTGATTGAAGCAATGATTGATTTGATTGTGAAATGTGTTCCATGTGGGAGGTTTGATGGTTGTGTATGTGGAGAATTGAGGTGAATGGAATAGAGAGATTGATTGAGTGATGGAATGATGGATTGGTTGAATTGTTGGTTGATTGGTTGATTGGTTGATAGATGGATTGATAGGATGATAGAGTGAGTGAGAGATTGAGTGAATGAATGAATGAGTGGGTGAGTGGGTGGGTGGGTGATTGATTGAGTGACTGTGTGAGTGAGTGAGTGAGTGAGTGAGTGAGTGTGTTTCACAATGTTTGTGTGTGTATTGATAAGTGTGTGAGTGTGTGGTTGTATGTGTATGAATTAGTGTGTTTGTGTGTAGTTGTACGGTGCAGATAGTTGACAAGTGTGTGAGATAATGCAAACAGCATGAAATTACAGTGATGCAAATGAATGATGGAATACTCACCGTCTTTATCATTGTCGTTGGGTTGATCACCACCTTGATCACCACCGTCAGCATCTACATCAACATCTACAAGGTGATTGATTGAAAAGAGTCAGTCAACTGGTCAATGCACGCACACACACACACACACACACGAAAATTGCACTTGACAATGAAAGTAATCAAATGAGATTGAGTTGTGCGTGTCGAGTGATCAATGAATGTTGTGTGATTGTGAAGTAGTTAAGTGTGAATGTACGGAGAGTGAGAGTGTGTGATGGAGGTTGTGAGGTGGAAACACAGACGGTAGACGAACAGACAAACAAACAGAAGGACAGTGAGGCAGATCGGCAGATAGACCGATTGACAGGCAGGCAGACAGACAGAACAGTAATCGGCAAGGTGATTGTGAGACGACCGACGTTGTTGTTGTTGTGAATGGAGAGGGAGATTGTGAGCGATGGTGAGATGAGAATGGGGAATTTGTGCGATTCCACTATATGAAAATCAATTTATACGTGTGAGTATTTATAAATGTACATATTGTCATATAAATACACATGGAGGGAATGTGGTATATGTAGAGGAATGTGATTGAAGCAATGATTGATTTGATTGTGAAATGTGTTCCATGTGGGAGGTTTGATGGTTGTGTATGTGGAGAATTGAGGTGAATGGAATAGAGAGATTGATTGAGTGATGGAATGATGGATTGGTTGAATTGTTGGTTGATTGGTTGATTGGTTGATAGATGGATTGATAGGATGATAGAGTGAGTGAGAGATTGAGTGAATGAATGAATGAGTGGGTGAGTGGGTGGGTGGGTGATTGATTGAGTGACTGTGTGAGTGAGTGAGTGAGTGAGTGAGTGAGTGTGTTTCACAATGTTTGTGTGTGTATTGATAAGTGTGTGAGTGTGTGGTTGTATGTGTATGAATTAGTGTGTTTGTGTGTAGTTGTACGGTGCAGATAGTTGACAAGTGTGTGAGATAATGCAAACAGCATGAAATTACAGTGATGCAAATGAATGATGGAATACTCACCGTCTTTATCATTGTCGTTGGGTTGATCAACACCTTGATCAACACCTTGATCAACACCTTGATCACCACCGTCAGCATCTACATCAACATCTACAAGGTGATTGATTGAAAAGAGTCAGTCAACTGGTCAATGCACACACACACACACACACACACACGAAAATTGCACTTGACAATGAAAGTAATCAAATGAGATTGAGTTGTGCGTGTCGAGTGATCAATGAATGTTGTGTGATTGTGAAGTAGTTAAGTGTGAATGTACGGAGAGTGAGAGTGTGTGATGGAGGTTGTGAGGTGGAAACACAGACGGTAGACGAACAGACAAACAGACAGAAGGACAGTGAGGCAGATCGGCAGATAGACCGATTGACAGGCACTCAGACAGACAGAACAGTAATCGGCAAGGTGATTGTGAGACGACCGACGTTGTTGTTGTTGTGAATGGAGAGGGAGATTGTGAGCGATGGTGAGATGAGAATGGGGAATTTGTGCGATTCCACTATATGAAAATCAATTTATACATGTGAGTATTTATAAATGTACATATTGTCATATAAATACACATGGAGGGAATGTGGTATATGTAGAGGAATGTGATTGAAGCAATGATTGATTTGATTGTGAAATGTGTTCCATGTGGGAGGTTTGATGGTTGTGTATGTGGAGAATTGAGGTGAATGGAATAGAGAGATTGATTGAGTGATGGAATGATGGATTGGTTGAATTGTTGGTTGATTGGTTGATTGGTTGATAGATGGATTGATAGGATGATAGAGTGAGTGAGAGATTGAGTGAATGAATGAATGAGTGGGTGAGTGGGTGGGTGGGTGATTGAGTGAGTGACTGTGTGAGTGAGTGAGTGAGTGAGTGAGTGAGTGTGTTTCACAATGTTTGTGTGTGTATTGATAAGTGTGTGAGTGTGTGGTTGTATGTGTATGAATTAGTGTGTTTGTGTGTAGTTGTACGGTGCAGATAGTTGACAAGTGTGTGAGATAATGCAAACAGCATGAAATTACAGTGATGCAAATGAATGATGGAATACTCACCGTCTTTATCATTGTCGTTGGGTTGATCAACACCTTGATCAACACCTTGATCAACACCTTGATCACCACCTTGATCACCACCGTCAGCATCTACACCAACATCTACAAGGTGATTGATTGAAAAGAGTCAGTCAACTGGTCAATGCACACACACACACGCACACACACGAAAATTGCACTTGACAATGAAAGTAATCAAATGAGATTGAGTTGTGCGTGTCGAGTGATCAATGAATGTTGTGTGATTGTGAAGTAGTTAAGTGTGAATGTACGGAGAGTGAGAGTGTGTGATGGAGGTTGTGAGGTGGAAACACAGACGGTAGACGAACAGACAAACAGACAGAAGGACAGTGAGGCAGATCGGCAGATAGACCGATTGACAGGCAGGCAGACAGACAGAACAGTAATCGGCAAGGTGATTGTGAGACGACCGACGTTGTTGTTGTTGTGAATGGAGAGGGAGATTGTGAGCGATGGTGAGATGAGAATGGGGAATTTGTGCGATTCCACTATATGAAAATCAATTTATACATGTGAGTATTTATAAATGTACATATTGTCATATAAATACACATGGAGGGAATGTGGTATATGTAGAGGAATGTGATTGAAGCAATGATTGATTTGATTGTGAAATGTGTTCCATGTGGGAGGTTTGATGGTTGTGTATGTGGAGAATTGAGGTGAATGGAATAGAGAGATTGATTGAGTGATGGAATGATGGATTGGTTGAATTGTTGGTTGATTGGTTGATTGGTTGATAGATGGATTGATAGGATGATAGAGTGAGTGAGAGATTGAGTGAATGAATGAATGAGTGGGTGAGTGGGTGGGTGATTGAGTGATTGACTGTGTGAGTGAGTGAGTGAGTGAGTGAGTGAGTTTCACAATGTTTGTGTGTGTATTGATAAGTGTGTGAGTGTGTGGTTGTATGTGTATGAATTAGTGTGTTTGTGTGTAGTTGTACGGTGCAGATAGTTGACAAGTGTGTGAGATAATGCAAACAGCATGAAATTACAGTGATGCAAATGAATGATGGAATACTCACCGTCTTTATCATTGTCGTTGGGTTGATCAACACCTTGATCAACACCTTGATCAACACCTTGATCACCACCTTGATCACCACCGTCAGCATCTACACCAACATCTACAAGGTGATTGATTGAAAAGAGTCAGTCAACTGGTCAATGCACACACACACACGCACACACACGAAAATTGCACTTGACAATGAAAGTAATCAAATGAGATTGAGTTGTGCGTGTCGAGTGATCAATGAATGTTGTGTGATTGTGAAGTAGTTAAGTGTGAATGTACGGAGAGTGAGAGTGTGTGATGGAGGTTGTGAGGTGGAAACACAGACGGTAGACGAACAGACAAACAGACAGAAGGACAGTGAGGCAGATCGGCAGATAGACCGATTGACAGGCAGGCAGACAGACAGAACAGTAATCGGCAAGGTGATTGTGAGACGACCGACGTTGTTGTTGTTGTGAATGGAGAGGGAGATTGTGAGCGATGGTGAGATGAGAATGGGGAATTTGTGCGATTCCACTATATGAAAATCAATTTATACATGTGAGTATTTATAAATGTACATATTGTCATATAAATACACATGGAGGGAATGTGGTATATGTAGAGGAATGTGATTGAAGCAATGATTGATTTGATTGTGAAATGTGTTCCATGTGGGAGGTTTGATGGTTGTGTATGTGGAGAATTGAGGTGAATGGAATAGAGAGATTGATTGAGTGATGGAATGATGGATTGGTTGAATTGTTGGTTGATTGGTTGATTGGTTGATAGATGGATTGATAGGATGATAGAGTGAGTGAGAGATTGAGTGAGTGAATGAATGAATGAGTGGGTGAGTGGGTGGGTGATTGAGTGATTGACTGTGTGAGTGAGTGAGTGAGTGAGTGAGTGAGTGAGTGAGTTTCACAATGTTTGTGTGTGTATTGATAAGTGTGTGAGTGTGTGGTTGTATGTGTATGAATTAGTGTGTTTGTGTGTAGTTGTACGGTGCAGATAGTTGACAAGTGTGTGAGATAATGCAAACAGCATGAAATTACAGTGATGCAAATGAATGATGGAATACTCACCGTCTTTATCATTGTCGTTGGGTTGATCAACACCTTGATCAACACCTTGATCACCACCTTGATCACCACCTTGATCACCACCGTCAGCATCTACACCAACATCTACAAGGTGATTGATTGAAAAGAGTCAGTCAACTGGTCAATGCACACACACACACGCACACACACGAAAATTGCACTTGACAATGAAAGTAATCAAATGAGATTGAGTTGTGCGTGTCGAGTGATCAATGAATGTTGTGTGATTGTGAAGTAGTTAAGTGTGAATGTACGGAGAGTGAGAGTGTGTGATGGAGGTTGTGAGGTGGAAACACAGACGGTAGACGAACAGACAAACAGACAGAAGGACAGTGAGGCAGATCGGCAGATAGACCGATTGACAGGCAGGCAGACAGACAGAACAGTAATCGGCAAGGTGATTGTGAGACGACCGACGTTGTTGTTGTTGTGAATGGAGAGGGAGATTGTGAGCGATGGTGAGATGAGAATGGGGAATTTGTGCGATTCCACTATATGAAAATCAATTTATACATGTGAGTATTTATAAATGTACATATTGTCATATAAATACACATGGAGGGAATGTGGTATATGTAGAGGAATGTGATTGAAGCAATGATTGATTTGATTGTGAAATGTGTTCCATGTGGGAGGTTTGATGGTTGTGTATGTGGAGAATTGAGGTGAATGGAATAGAGAGATTGATTGAGTGATGGAATGATGGATTGGTTGAATTGTTGGTTGATTGGTTGATTGGTTGATAGATGGATTGATAGGATGATAGAGTGAGTGAGAGATTGAGTGAATGAATGAATGAGTGGGTGAGTGGGTGGGTGATTGAGTGATTGACTGTGTGAGTGAGTGAGTGAGTGAGTGAGTGAGTGAGTGAGTGAGTTTCACAATGTTTGTGTGTGTATTGATAAGTGTGTGAGTGTGTGGTTGTATGTGTATGAATTAGTGTGTTTGTGTGTAGTTGTACGGTGCAGATAGTTGACAAGTGTGTGAGATAATGCAAACAGCATGAAATTACAGTGATGCAAATGAATGATGGAATACTCACCGTCTTTATCATTGTCGTTGGGTTGATCAACACCTTGATCAACACCTTGATCAACACCTTGATCACCACCTTGATCACCACCGTCAGCATCTACACCAACATCTACAAGGTGATTGATTGAAAAGAGTCAGTCAACTGGTCAATGCACACACACACACGCACACACACGAAAATTGCACTTGACAATGAAAGTAATCAAATGAGATTGAGTTGTGCGTGTCGAGTGATCAATGAATGTTGTGTGATTGTGAAGTAGTTAAGTGTGAATGTACGGAGAGTGAGAGTGTGTGATGGAGGTTGTGAGGTGGAAACACAGACGGTAGACGAACAGACAAACAGACAGAAGGACAGTGAGGCAGATCGGCAGATAGACCGATTGACAGGCAGGCAGACAGACAGAACAGTAATCGGCAAGGTGATTGTGAGACGACCGACGTTGTTGTTGTTGTGAATGGAGAGGGAGATTGTGAGCGATGGTGAGATGAGAATGGGGAATTTGTGCGATTCCACTATATGAAAATCAATTTATACATGTGAGTATTTATAAATGTACATATTGTCATATAAATACACATGGAGGGAATGTGGTATATGTAGAGGGATGTGATTGAAGCAATGATTGATTTGATTGTGAAATGTGTTCCATGTGGGAGGTTTGATGGTTGTGTATGTGGAGAATTGAGGTGAATGGAATAGAGAGATTGATTGAGTGATGGAATGATGGATTGGTTGAATTGTTGGTTGATTGGTTGATTGGTTGATAGATGGATTGATAGGATGATAGAGTGAGTGAGAGATTGAGTGAATGAATGAATGAATGAGTGGGTGAGTGGGTGGGTGATTGAGTGATTGACTGTGTGAGTGAGTGAGTGAGTGAGTGAGTGAGTGAGTTTCACAATGTTTGTGTGTGTATTGATAAGTGTGTGAGTGTGTGGTTGTATGTGTATGAATTAGTGTGTTTGTGTGTAGTTGTACGGTGCAGATAGTTGACAAGTGTGTGAGATAATGCAAACAGCATGAAATTACAGTGATGCAAATGAATGATGGAATACTCACCGTCTTTATCATTGTCGTTGGGTTGATCAACACCTTGATCAACACCTTGATCACCACCTTGATCACCACCTTGATCACCACCGTCAGCATCTACACCAACATCTACAAGGTGATTGATTGAAAAGAGTCAGTCAACTGGTCAATGCACACACACACACGCACACACACGAAAATTGCACTTGACAATGAAAGTAATCAAATGAGATTGAGTTGTGCGTGTCGAGTGATCAATGAATGTTGTGTGATTGTGAAGTAGTTAAGTGTGAATGTACGGAGAGTGAGAGTGTGTGATGGAGGTTGTGAGGTGGAAACACAGACGGTAGACGAACAGACAAACAGACAGAAGGACAGTGAGGCAGATCGGCAGATAGACCGATTGACAGGCAGGCAGACAGACAGAACAGTAATCGGCAAGGTGATTGTGAGACGACCGACGTTGTTGTTGTTGTGAATGGAGAGGGAGATTGTGAGCGATGGTGAGATGAGAATGGGGAATTTGTGCGATTCCACTATATGAAAATCAATTTATACATGTGAGTATTTATAAATGTACATATTGTCATATAAATACACATGGAGGGAATGTGGTATATGTAGAGGAATGTGATTGAAGCAATGATTGATTTGATTGTGAAATGTGTTCCATGTGGGAGGTTTGATGGTTGTGTATGTGGAGAATTGAGGTGAATGGAATAGAGAGATTGATTGAGTGATGGAATGATGGATTGGTTGAATTGTTGGTTGATTGGTTGATTGGTTGATAGATGGATTGATAGGATGATAGAGTGAGTGAGAGATTGAGTGAATGAATGAATGAATGAGTGGGTGAGTGGGTGGGTGATTGAGTGATTGACTGTGTGAGTGAGTGAGTGAGTGAGTGAGTGAGTGAGTGAGTGAGTTTCACAATGTTTGTGTGTGTATTGATAAGTGTGTGAGTGTGTGGTTGTATGTGTATGAATTAGTGTGTTTGTGTGTAGTTGTACGGTGCAGATAGTTGACAAGTGTGTGAGATAATGCAAACAGCATGAAATTACAGTGATGCAAATGAATGATGGAATACTCACCGTCTTTATCATTGTCGTTGGGTTGATCAACACCTTGATCAACACCTTGATCAACACCTTGATCACCACCTTGATCACCACCGTCAGCATCTACACCAACATCTACAAGGTGATTGATTGAAAAGAGTCAGTCAACTGGTCAATGCACACACACACACGCACACACACGAAAATTGCACTTGACAATGAAAGTAATCAAATGAGATTGAGTTGTGCGTGTCGAGTGATCAATGAATGTTGTGTGATTGTGAAGTAGTTAAGTGTGAATGTACGGAGAGTGAGAGTGTGTGATGGAGGTTGTGAGGTGGAAACACAGACGGTAGACGAACAGACAAACAGACAGAAGGACAGTGAGGCAGATCGGCAGATAGACCGATTGACAGGCAGGCAGACAGACAGAACAGTAATCGGCAAGGTGATTGTGAGACGACCGACGTTGTTGTTGTTGTGAATGGAGAGGGAGATTGTGAGCGATGGTGAGATGAGAATGGGGAATTTGTGCGATTCCACTATATGAAAATCAATTTATACATGTGAGTATTTATAAATGTACATATTGTCATATAAATACACATGGAGGGAATGTGGTATATGTAGAGGGATGTGATTGAAGCAATGATTGATTTGATTGTGAAATGTGTTCCATGTGGGAGGTTTGATGGTTGTGTATGTGGAGAATTGAGGTGAATGGAATAGAGAGATTGATTGAGTGATGGAATGATGGATTGGTTGAATTGTTGGTTGATTGGTTGATTGGTTGATAGATGGATTGATAGGATGATAGAGTGAGTGAGAGATTGAGTGAATGAATGAATGAGTGGGTGAGTGGGTGGGTGATTGAGTGATTGACTGTGTGAGTGAGTGAGTGAGTGAGTGAGTGAGTGAGTGAGTTTCACAATGTTTGTGTGTGTATTGATAAGTGTGTGAGTGTGTGGTTGTATGTGTATGAATTAGTGTGTTTGTGTGTAGTTGTACGGTGCAGATAGTTGACAAGTGTGTGAGATAATGCAAACAGCATGAAATTACAGTGATGCAAATGAATGATGGAATACTCACCGTCTTTATCATTGTCGTTGGGTTGATCAACACCTTGATCAACACCTTGATCAACACCTTGATCACCACCTTGATCACCACCGTCAGCATCTACACCAACATCTACAAGGTGATTGATTGAAAAGAGTCAGTCAACTGGTCAATGCACACACACACACGCACACACACGAAAATTGCACTTGACAATGAAAGTAATCAAATGAGATTGAGTTGTGCGTGTCGAGTGATCAATGAATGTTGTGTGATTGTGAAGTAGTTAAGTGTGAATGTACGGAGAGTGAGAGTGTGTGATGGAGGTTGTGAGGTGGAAACACAGACGGTAGACGAACAGACAAACAGACAGAAGGACAGTGAGGCAGATCGGCAGATAGACCGATTGACAGGCAGGCAGACAGACAGAACAGTAATCGGCAAGGTGATTGTGAGACGACCGACGTTGTTGTTGTTGTGAATGGAGAGGGAGATTGTGAGCGATGGTGAGATGAGAATGGGGAATTTGTGCGATTCCACTATATGAAAATCAATTTATACATGTGAGTATTTATAAATGTACATATTGTCATATAAATACACATGGAGGGAATGTGGTATATGTAGAGGGATGTGATTGAAGCAATGATTGATTTGATTGTGAAATGTGTTCCATGTGGGAGGTTTGATGGTTGTGTATGTGGAGAATTGAGGTGAATGGAATAGAGAGATTGATTGAGTGATGGAATGATGGATTGGTTGAATTGTTGGTTGATTGGTTGATTGGTTGATAGATGGATTGATAGGATGATAGAGTGAGTGAGAGATTGAGTGAATGAATGAATGAATGAGTGGGTGAGTGGGTGGGTGATTGAGTGATTGACTGTGTGAGTGAGTGAGTGAGTGAGTGAGTGAGTGTGTTTCACAATGTTTGTGTGTGTATTGATAAGTGTGTGAGTGTGTGGTTGTATGTGTATGAATTAGTGTGTTTGTGTGTAGTTGTACGGTGCAGATAGTTGACAAGTGTGTGAGATAATGCAAACAGCATGAAATTACAGTGATGCAAATGAATGATGGAATACTCACCGTCTTTATCATTGTCGTTGGGTTGATCAACACCTTGATCAACACCTTGATCAACACCTTGATCAACACCTTCATCACCACCGTCAGCATCTACACCAACATCTACAAGGTGATTGATTGAAAAGAGTCAGTCAACTGGTCAATGCACACACACACACGCACACACACGAAAATTGCACTTGACAATGAAAGTAATCAAATGAGATTGAGCTGTGCGTGTCGAGTGATCAATGAATGTTGTGTGATTGTGAAGTAGTTAAGTGTGAATGTACGGAGAGTGAGAGTGTGTGATGGAGGTTGTGAGGTTGAAACACAGACGGTAGACGAACAGACAAACAGACAGAAGGACAGTGAGGCAGATCGGCAGATAGACCGATTGACAGGCAGGCAGACAGACAGAACAGTAATCGGCAAGGTGATTGTGAGACGACCGACGTTGTTGTTGTTGTGAATGGAGAGGGAGATTGTGAGCGATGGTGAGATGAGAATGGGGAATTTGTGCGATTCCACTATATGAAAATCAATTTATACATGTGAGTATTTATAAATGTACATATTGTCATATAAATACACATGGAGGGAATGTGGTATATGTAGAGGGATGTGATTGAAGCAATGATTGATTTGATTGTGAAATGTGTTCCATGTGGGAGGTTTGATGGTTGTGTATGTGGAGAATTGAGGTGAATGGAATAGAGAGATTGATTGAGTGATGGAATGATGGATTGGTTGAATTGTTGGTTGATTGGTTGATTGGTTGATAGATGGATTGATAGGATGATAGAGTGAGTGAGAGATTGAGTGAATGAATGAATGAATGAGTGGGTGAGTGGGTGGGTGATTGAGTGATTGACTGTGTGAGTGAGTGAGTGAGTGAGTGAGTGAGTGAGTTTCACAATGTTTGTGTGTGTATTGATAAGTGTGTGAGTGTGTGGTTGTATGTGTATGAATTAGTGTGTTTGTGTGTAGTTGTACGGTGCAGATAGTTGACAAGTGTGTGAGATAATGCAAACAGCATGAAATTACAGTGATGCAAATGAATGATGGAATACTCACCGTCTTTATCATTGTCGTTGGGTTGATCAACACCTTGATCAACACCTTGATCAACACCTTGATCAGCAACTTCATCATCACCGTCAGCATCTACACCAACATCTACAAGGTGATTGATTGAAAAGAGTCAGTCAACTGGTCAATGCACACACACACACGCACACACACGAAAATTGCACTTGACAATGAAAGTAATCAAATGAGATTGAGTTGTGCGTGTCGAGTGATCAATGAATGTTGTGTGATTGTGAAGTAGTTAAGTGTGAATGTACGGAGAGTGAGAGTGTGTGATGGAGGTTGTGAGGTGGAAACACAGACGGTAGACGAACAGACAAACAGACAGAAGGACAGTGAGGCAGATCGGCAGATAGACCGATTGACAGGCAGGCAGACAGACAGAACAGTAATCGGCAAGGTGATTGTGAGACGACCGACGTTGTTGTTGTTGTGAATGGAGAGGGAGATTGTGAGCGATGGTGAGATGAGAATGGGGAATTTGTGCGATTCCACTATATGAAAATCAATTTATACATGTGAGTATTTATAAATGTACATATTGTCATATAAATACACATGGAGGGAATGTGGTATATGTAGAGGAATGTGATTGAAGCAATGATTGATTTGATTGTGAAATGTGTTCCATGTGGGAGGTTTGATGGTTGTGTATGTGGAGAATTGAGGTGAATGGAATAGAGAGATTGATTGAGTGATGGAATGATGGATTGGTTGAATTGTTGGTTGATTGGTTGATTGGTTGATAGATGGATTGATAGGATGATAGAGTGAGTGAGAGATTGAGTGAATGAATGAATGAATGAGTGGGTGAGTGGGTGGGTGATTGAGTGATTGACTGTGTGAGTGAGTGAGTGAGTGAGTGAGTGAGTGAGTGAGTGAGTGAGTGAGTGAGTGAGTGAGTGAGTGAGTGAGTGAGTTTCACAATGTTTGTGTGTGTATTGATAAGTGTGTGAGTGTGTGGTTGTATGTGTATGAATTAGTGTGTTTGTGTGTAGTTGTACGGTGCAGATAGTTGACAAGTGTGTGAGATAATGCAAACAGCATGAAATTACAGTGATGCAAATGAATGATGGAATACTCACCGTCTTTATCATTGTCGTTGGGTTGATCAACACCTTGATCAACACCTTGATCACCACCTTGATCAACACCTTGATCACCACCGTCAGCATCTACACCAACATCTACAAGGTGATTGATTGAAAAGAGTCAGTCAACTGGTCAATGCACACACACACACGCACACACACGAAAATTGAACTTGACAATGAAAGTAATCAAATGAGATTGAGTTGTGCGTGTCGAGTGATCAATGAATGTTGTGTGATTGTGAAGTAGTTAAGTGTGAATGTACGGAGAGTGAGAGTGTGTGATGGAGGTTGTGAGGTGGAAACACAGACGGTAGACGAACAGACAAACAGACAGAAGGACAGTGAGGCAGATCGGCAGATAGACCGATTGACAGGCAGGCAGACAGACAGAACAGTAATCGGCAAGGTGATTGTGAGACGACCGACGTTGTTGTTGTTGTGAATGGAGAGGGAGATTGTGAGCGATGGTGAGATGAGAATGGGGAATTTGTGCGATTCCACTATATGAAAATCAATTAATACATGTGAGTATTTATAAATGCACATATTGTCATATAAATACACATGGAGGGAATGTGGTATATGTAGAGGGATGTGATTGAAGCAATGATTGATTTGATTGTGAAATGTGTTCCATGTGGGAGGTTTGATGGTTGTGTATGTGGAGAATTGAGGTGAATGGAATAGAGAGATTGATTGAGTGATGGAATGATGGATTGGTTGAATTGTTGGTTGATTGGTTGATTGGTTGATAGATGGATTGATAGGATGATAGAGTGAGTGAGAGATTGAGTGAGTGAATGAATGAATGAGTGGGTGAGTGAGTGAGTGAGTGAGTGAGTGAGTGAGTGAGTGAGTGAGTGAGTGAGTGAGTGAGTGAGTGAGTGAGTTTCACAATGTTTGTGTGTGTATTGATAAGTGTGTGAGTGTGTGGTTGTATGTGTATGAATTAGTGTGTTTGTGTGTAGTTGTACGGTGCAGATAGTTGACAAGTGTGTGAGATAATGCAAACAGCATGAAATTACAGTGATGCAAATGAATGATGGAATACTCACCGTCTTTATCATTGTCGTTGGGTTGATCAACACCTTGATCAACACCTTGATCAACACCTTGATCAACACCTTGATCACCACCTTGATCACCACCGTCAGCATCTACACCAACATCTACAAGGTGATTGATTGAAAAGAGTCAGTCAACTGGTCAATGCACACACACACACGCACACACACGAAAATTGCACTTGACAATGAAAGTAATCAAATGAGATTGAGTTGTGCGTGTCGAGTGATCAATGAATGTTGTGTGATTGTGAAGTAGTTAAGTGTGAATGTACGGAGAGTGAGAGTGTGTGATGGAGGTTGTGAGGTGGAAACACAGACGGTAGACGAACAGACAAACAGACAGAAGGACAGTGAGGCAGATCGGCAGATAGACCGATTGACAGGCAGGCAGACAGACAGAACAGTAATCGGCAAGGTGATTGTGAGACGACCGACGTTGTTGTTGTTGTGAATGGAGAGGGAGATTGTGAGCGATGGTGAGATGAGAATGGGGAATTTGTGCGATTCCACTATATGAAAATCAATTTATACATGTGAGTATTTATAAATGTACATATTGTCATATAAATACACATGGAGGGAATGTGGTATATGTAGAGGGATGTGATTGAAGCAATGATTGATTTGATTGTGAAATGTGTTCCATGTGGGAGGTTTGATGGTTGTGTATGTGGAGAATTGAGGTGAATGGAATAGAGAGATTGATTGAGTGATGGAATGATGGATTGGTTGAATTGTTGGTTGATTGGTTGATTGGTTGATAGATGGATTGATAGGATGATAGAGTGAGTGAGAGATTGAGTGAATGAATGAATGAATGAGTGGGTGAGTGGGAGGGTGATTGAGTGATTGACTGTGTGAGTGAGTGAGTGAGTGAGTGAGTGAGTGAGTGAGTGAGTGAGTGAGTGAGTGAGTTTCACAATGTTTGTGTGTGTATTGATAAGTGTGTGAGTGTGTGGTTGTATGTGTATGAATTAGTGTGTTTGTGTGTAGTTGTACGGTGCAGATAGTTGACAAGTGTGTGAGATAATGCAAACAGCATGAAATTACAGTGATGCAAATGAATGATGGAATACTCACCGTCTTTATCATTGTCGTTGGGTTGATCAACACCTTGATCAACACCTTGATCACCACCTTGATCAACACCTTGATCACCACCGTCAGCATCTACACCAACATCTACAAGGTGATTGATTGAAAAGAGTCAGTCAACTGGTCAATGCACACACACACACGCACACACACGAAAATTGCACTTGACAATGAAAGTAATCAAATGAGATTGAGTTGTGCGTGTCGAGTGATCAATGAATGTTGTGTGATTGTGAAGTAGTTAAGTGTGAATGTACGGAGAGTGAGAGTGTGTGATGGAGGTTGTGAGGTGGAAACACAGACGGTAGACGAACAGACAAACAGACAGAAGGACAGTGAGGCAGATCGGCAGATAGACCGATTGACAGGCAGGCAGACAGACAGAACAGTAATCGGCAAGGTGATTGTGAGACGACCGACGTTGTTGTTGTTGTGAATGGAGAGGGAGATTGTGAGCGATGGTGAGATGAGAATGGGGAATTTGTGCGATTCCACTATATGAAAATCAATTTATACATGTGAGTATTTATAAATGCACATATTGTCATATAAATACACATGGAGGGAATGTGGTATATGTAGAGGGATGTGATTGAAGCAATGATTGATTTGATTGTGAAATGTGTTCCATGTGGGAGGTTTGATGGTTGTGTATGTGGAGAATTGAGGTGAATGGAATAGAGAGATTGATTGAGTGATGGAATGATGGATTGGTTGAATTGTTGGTTGATTGGTTGATTGGTTGATAGATGGATTGATAGGATGATAGAGTGAGTGAGAGATTGAGTGAGTGAATGAATGAATGAGTGGGTGAGTGGGTGGGTGATTGAGTGATTGACTGTGTGAGTGAGTGAGTGAGTGAGTGAGTGAGTGAGTGAGTGAGTTTCACAATGTTTGTGTGTGTATTGATAAGTGTGTGAGTGTGTGGTTGTATGTGTATGAATTAGTGTGTTTGTGTGTAGTTGTACGGTGCAGATAGTTGACAAGTGTGTGAGATAATGCAAACAGCATGAAATTACAGTGATGCAAATGAATGATGGAATACTCACCGTCTTTATCATTGTCGTTGGGTTGATCAACACCTTGATCAACACCTTGATCAACACCTTGATCAACACCTTGATCACCACCGTCAGCATCTACACCAACATCTACAAGGTGATTGATTGAAAAGAGTCAGTCAACTGGTCAATGCACACACACACACGCACACACACGAAAATTGCACTTGACAATGAAAGTAATCAAATGAGATTGAGTTGTGCGTGTCGAGTGATCAATGAATGTTGTGTGATTGTGAAGTAGTTAAGTGTGAATGTACGGAGAGTGAGAGTGTGTGATGGAGGTTGTGAGGTGGAAACACAGACGGTAGACGAACAGACAAACAGACAGAAGGACAGTGAGGCAGATCGGCAGATAGACCGATTGACAGGCAGGCAGACAGACAGAACAGTAATCGGCAAGGTGATTGTGAGACGACCGACGTTGTTGTTGTTGTGAATGGAGAGGGAGATTGTGAGCGATGGTGAGATGAGAATGGGGAATTTGTGCGATTCCACTATATGAAAATCAATTTATACATGTGAGTATTTATAAATGTACATATTGTCATATAAATACACATGGAGGGAATGTGGTATATGTAGAGGAATGTGATTGAAGCAATGATTGATTTGATTGTGAAATGTGTTCCATGTGGGAGGTTTGATGGTTGTGTATGTGGAGAATTGAGGTGAATGGAATAGAGAGATTGATTGAGTGATGGAATGATGGATTGGTTGAATTGTTGGTTGATTGGTTGATTGGTTGATAGATGGATTGATAGGATGATAGAGTGAGTGAGAGATTGAGTGAGTGAATGAATGAATGAGTGTGTGAGTGGGTGGGTGATTGAGTGATTGACTGTGTGAGTGAGTGAGTGAGTGAGTGAGTGAGTGAGTTTCACAATGTTTGTGTGTGTATTGATAAGTGTGTGAGTGTGTGGTTGTATGTGTATGAATTAGTGTGTTTGTGTGTAGTTGTACGGTGCAGATAGTTGACAAGTGTGTGAGATAATGCAAACAGCATGAAATTACAGTGATGCAAATGAATGATGGAATACTCACCGTCTTTATCATTGTCGTTGGGTTGATCAACACCTTGATCAACACCTTGATCACCGCCGTCAGCATTTACATCAACATCTACAAGGTGATTGATTGAAAAGAGTCAGTCAACTGGTCAATGCACACACACACACGCACACACACGAAAATTGCACTTGACAATGAAAGTAATCAAATGAGATTGAGTTGTGCGTGTCGAGTGATCAATGAATGTTGTGTGATTGTGAAGTAGTTAAGTGGTTAAAATAACGCCCGCTATTTGAACGGTAAGTTTATTCCTAACGTGATTTACATTTCTCAAACTTTTGCTGTGTTCATACGCTACAAAAATATGATTTCCAATCCAAAGAATCTATTTTGAGTTATACGTTCGGTAGATTACTTCTGTTTTGTGTTTCACTCAAATTAATAGTTAACTGTGGTTTTGCCCCTGCTCACTATCGGTTTTCTTTTATAGTTTTCACGTAAATGCTATCTTTAGCTTATCGTTAACTTTTTTTATACATTTTTGATAGTTTTTGTTTACTGTGTGTTTTTTTTATCGGTCCTAAATTTACTGCTTATATTTTTAACACAGTCTAAATCACTAGCCATGAAAAATTCATGCAAGAGACCTGGTTGCCGTTTTGCCGTTACATCTGGCATGCAATGTGACAACTGTACAGGTTAGTTCCATGAAGCATGTACAGATCTAGCAGCAGCAGCCTATAGCAGACTCAGCAAGTCTGATCGTAGGTGGGTATGTGTTACCTGCAACACCGATACGGTAGTTATGTTGGGTACTATCATTACTTTACTGACAGATCTGAGAGATAAGTTGTCTAAGAATTCGGTAAATGATATCATCATGACGGGTAACAAAGCTGGAACGCATAGGGTAAATAAGAAAAAGGATACTGACAGGTCGGTTATCGACGGTGCTGTTAACAGCACGAGTGATGATGTGTTGAAACTCAGCACCATCCTAACATCGACTGTCATCTACTCCCTCAGTAAACTTGGGTCCCCCGGAGAACGGTCCTTGAATGAGACAGTGGTTCCTAAAAATCATGTAGGTGGATGGACTCATGTTAACAGGAATAATAAAGCCCAAGCGTCTCCTCCGAAACTGAACGTCCCAAGGATCGTGCGGAAATCAATTGATGCTTTGGCCGCACAGTCTACACCCAAGACTGACCGCCCGGTCATCACTGAGCCCAGAAATCGAAAACGCGCCTCGACATCCAAACAACAAGATACCAAACCTAGACGCCCTGGAAAACTTGGGAAATCAATTGCGGTTCGTGACGACTCTGTCATAATCATGAACCTTATTGACAACCCCGACCTTCCTCTCAGTTTGCAGGACAAAAACGATAGGATGCTCTGGGGAGAATTAATCAAGAGGCTTGAACTCCCTAGAATAGAGCCTTTGACCGTCACACGACTCACTCGGGGGAAGGACTCTAACCACCTAAACCACCCGAGGCTGCTTCGTGTTACACTTAAGAATGCCTCCGACGTAGAGGACGTCCTGCTAGCCAGTCACTTACTGAGGTCCGATGGGAACGTAAGAATACTGCCCGACATACCGTATTCTGAACGAAATCTCATCCGGAACATCCCTAAGGAATCTCGCGAGGCGTTCTTCCGTGGACGAAATATCATTGTGCAAGGTGTGCCGGAAAATATGGACCTAGCTCAAGCAAACTCTGATATTCGGGAATGGAAATTCATCAAGCATTCCTTAAAACTCAAGAACATATTGACCCAACAGGTAATGAGACTGGCCAAGAGAGACGGAGACTCTAGGCCCCGGCTGCTGAAGATAACCTTCCCCTCCTCCCACATGGCGTCTGCAACTCTGGAAGCATTTCGTGCCAATAGACGTCGGTTGCCAACTGGCATCCATATGCATCCGGATAGGCCCCACGACAGCAGAATCAAGCACAAACGAAAGCTGGAGCTGACAATTCCACTCGTGGACTGTCTTGATCATAAAAAAAACGTGTAAAGGACAGGGACTACCAACTCGGTAAACATCGTATAGGTAGGCTACCTGTCCACTCACACACGGCTCATATAGACAAACAAGAAGAGACTCACGCGTTCCAAATTAAAAGCATAAACTGCCTATACACGAACGCCGCGAGCTTGCCAAACAAAATGGATGAGCTACGTGAACTTAGCAACGCTAATGATGCCCATCTGATAGGAATATCCGAAACTTGGATAACGTCTCAGTTTACGGACCAAGAGTTAGCAGTAACTGGAATGTCTTTATTTCGCAACGACAGAAAAACAGGAATGGGGGGTGGGGTAGCACTATACGTACGGTCATGCCTGGATGCACACCAACTTCACAATCAAGAGTTTCACAAACTTGACGAGTCAGTATGGTGCTCAGTAAGATTATCTACCACCTCGAGGTGCCTAGTTGGGGTCGTTTACAGGAAGCCCACTGCCGACATCGAATATGACAAACGTCTGCTGGAAGGATTAACTCGCTCTACGCGTCTTGGATTCTCTCATATCCTGATTCTAGGGGATTTCAATCTCCCTAGAATCAACTTCGTGGAACATACATACATTGGTGGTGCCAACTCTACTGAAGCTCTGTTCTTCAACCTTATCGGCGACCTGGGATTATTTGAAAATGTGAAGTCGGCAACCCGTTGGAGAAACAGTCAGACGCCGTCACGCTTAGACTGGGTATTCACAAATGAAGAATTCCTAGTTGACGACCTCTCAATCCTGGCTCCCCTGGGGAAAAGTGATCACGCCGTCTTATCATTCAGCTTTGTCAGCAAGACGGAACTACGATATCCTACTAGCAACAAGCGCTGGAACTTCAAACGGTTGAATGTGTTAGCTTTACAGGACTATCTTCAACAGGTGGATTGGGATGTTCGCCCTGAAATTGAAGTGGATGCTCATTGGGATTTTTTACTGCACACGATCTTATGTGCTACTGAGCATTCAGTTCCTAAAATGGTCCCAAAAAGCTACAAGCAACCTGCAATCATCAAGAACCGCACTCGTCGTTTGCTAAGCCGCAAAAGGCACTGTTGGGCTGAATATAAACGAACGGATAACAACGGCGCGTACAGGCAATACAAACATATAAGGAACACATGCACAAAGGCAATAAGAGAAGACAGGCTTCAGTTCCAGACCAAGCTTATGGATAGATTCGTCTTCAATCCGAAAAGCTTGTTCAGTTATGCAGCTTCTCTTCGACAAGGCAAAACTGGAGTTTCCCAACTGCTTGGTCCAAATGGCCCGACCAACAACGACAGTGATGCCGCTAACCTTTTGGCTGAACATTACTCCCGGACATTCCAACTGACCCACATCAACCATACTGACGAAAGCTTCACCTGCACCTGTACAGGACTTTCCGAAGTGGACCTGAGTGCTGACTTGGTGCTCCGTAAACTGCAGAACCTAAGAAAAGACACTTCTCCTGGTCCGGATATGGTTCATTCCGCCGTACTGAGGGAAGCAGCTTCAATCCTGGCGACACCACTTAGCGTGATGTTTGCACACTCGTTAAGCAGATGCAAACTACCGGAAATATGGAAGCTGGCCCACATCACACCAATTTTCAAAGGAGGTCGACGCAGTGAACCCTCAAGCTACCGACCAGTGGCCCTTCTCTCCATACATTCAAAAATTATGGAATCCCTAGTATTCGACGGCATACTAGAACACTTATCATCCTCAAAGTTCTTCTTGCCTCAATAGCCTGGTTTCAGAAAAGGTCATTCTTGTACGACCAACCTGCTGACTGCGGTGGATAAATGGACAACCATCCTTGATCGCAAGGGGAAGGTTGACGTCATTTACCTGGACTTCTCAAAAGCTTTTGATAGGGTCAACCATGCATGTCTTATCAAGAAGCTTGGACGATTGGGTATAAAACCCCCTTTAATTGACTGGATCACTTCATACCTAGAAAACCGACATTTTAAGGTCAGGGTTAACTTCACTCTCTCTCAGGCTATGGAATGTCCTAGTGGGGTCCCCCAGGGTTCAATACTAGGACCTCTTCTTTTCTTGATTTATATTAACGATCTTCCTCAACAAGTTTCATCTGATTTATTGCTTTTTGCTGATGATGTGAAACTTTGGAGAGAGATACGTACTCACAATGATATACTAGTTCTGCAGGAGGATCTGACTCGACTTCAAAGTTGGGCAGACGACAACGGACTTACCTTCAACACTTCAAAGTGCAAGGTAGTCCATCTGAGACATGTTGCAGACTATAGTTATAACTTAGGTAACTCACCTCTAGAAGTTTCCCAAGTTGAAAAAGATTTAGGAGTGTTGGTACCCTACGACCTGAAATCGTATGCGAACTGTGACAAAAACGCCTCTCAAGCAAACCTTGCACTGGTAACATTGAAGCGCATTTTTGGCCAGTTTGACGGTAGAACCTTCCACATAATCTTCAACAGTTTTATTCGTCCCCACTTAGAGTACGGAAACATAGTATTTCCTCCCTCCCTCCAAAAGGATAAGGTCACTCTGGAACGTATACAACATCGAGCCACGAAATCAGTTCGGGGTCTCAAATTCAAACCTTATGAAGAGCGCCTCAAATCACTTAACCTTTACCCGTTGGAGTATAGGCGTCTTAGAGGTGATCTTCTTATGACTTATAGTATCCTTAATACTTCTGGTCATCCCCTTAAACAACTTCTTAAGCTTAGTCATAACACTAACCTCAGAGGTAACACCCAGAAATTGGAGAACCTACATAGCAGAACAGACTGCAGACACAACTTCTCCTCCGTTAGAGTTGTCAAGTGCTGGAATTCGCTGCCGACTGAGCTAGTCCAAGCGACCTCCCAGGAGTCCTTTAAGAGAAAACTTGACTTATTCTTAAGGACTAAGGATAACATATTATTATGATTTACCAAATTCTTTTTTTCCCTCTATAATCGTTCATATACCTAGGTTCTTGCCTGGAGGAATTGGTGATCCACAGCTACCAGACACGGAAGCCCGTTAAGCGAAAGCTTCTTCTATTCCGTCCTCAACCATTTGAACCATTTGAAGTGTGAATGTACGGAGAGTGAGAGTGTTTGATGGAGGTTGTGAGGTGGAAACACAGACGGTAGACGAACAGACAAACAGACAGAAGGACAGTGAGGCAGATCGGCAGATAGACCGATTGACAGGCAGGCAGACAGACAGAACAGTAATCGGCAAGGTGATTGTGAGACGACCGACGTTGTTGTTGTTGTGAATGGAGAGGGAGATTGTGAGCGATGGTGAGATGAGAATGGGGAATTTGTGCGATTCCACTATATGAAAATCAATTTATACATGTGAGTATTTATAAATGTACATATTGTCATATAAATACACATGGAGGGAATGTGGTATATGTAGAGGAATGTGATTGAAGCAATGATTGATTTGATTGTGAAATGTGTTCCATGTGGGAGGTTTGATGGTTGTGTATGTGGAGAATTGAGGTGAATGGAATAGAGAGATTGATTGAGTGATGGAATGATGGATTGGTTGAATTGTTGGTTGATTGGTTGATTGGTTGATAGATGGATTGATAGGATGATAGAGTGAGTGAGAGATTGAGTGAGTGAATGAATGAATGAGTGGGTGAGTGGGTGGGTGATTGAGTGATTGACTGTGTGAGTGAGTGAGTGAGTGAGTGAGTGAGTTTCACAATGTTTGTGTGTGTATTGATAAGTGTGTGAGTGTGTGGTTGTATGTGTATGAATTAGTGTGTTTGTGTGTAGTTGTACGGTGCAGATAGTTGACAAGTGTGTGAGATAATGCAAACAGCATGAAATTACAGTGATGCAAATGAATGATGGAATACTCACCGTCTTTATCATTGTCGTTGGGTTGATCAACACCTTGATCAACACCTTGATCACCACCTTGATCAGCAACTTCATCACCACCGTCAGCATCTACACCAACATCTACAAGGTGATTGATTGAAAAGAGTCAGTCAACTGGTCAATGCACACACACACACGCACACACACGAAAATTGCACTTGACAATGAAAGTAATCAAATGAGATTGAGTTGTGCGTGTCGAGTGATCAATGAATGTTGTGTGATTGTGAAGTAGTTAAGTGTGAATGTACGGAGAGTGAGAGTGTGTGATGGAGGTTGTGAGGTGGAAACACAGACGGTAGACGAACAGACAAACAGACAGAAGGACAGTGAGGCAGATCGGCAGATAGACCGATTGACAGGCAGGCAGACAGACAGAACAGTAATCGGCAAGGTGATTGTGAGACGACCGACGTTGTTGTTGTGGGAATCGGATCTAACTGTTTGTTTTTCTGATGATCTGTCTTTTTTCCCCCCTTTTGTTATTCCATGTAATTTATCTTTATGGAAATACTTACCGTCTGATCGTTTATGTCGTATTAATTTTGTTTGTTCACTTTCATTCATTTGATGTGGTCTCAATTCGAATAAATAACATTGTAGTATAAACACTACAAATAGTGTGAGTAGTTTCATTTTCTCTTTCGTTTGGTCTGTCTTATTTATCGAATTGTTTTAGTGGTTTCTTGATATCTATAAAAATGATTACATAAGAGATTAAAATAGATCATGTTCATTGTGTGATAGACTTATCAAATAGAAATGATCAGTGCTCTTTGTTGAACCACCATCGAATTGTATAATGTATTATGAAGTATTGAACTTAGAACCGTCTCTCTTCTATGTGACCGGTTAATCTCATAACTAATACGGTAGAGTATAATGGTATATATTGCTTTACTTACTTTTGCTTACTTACGCTTGTTACTCTTAATGGAGCATAGGCCACCGACCAGCTTTCTCAAATCCACTCTGTCCTGGGCCTTCTTTTCTAGTTCTATCCCGTTTTTTTCATTCTTCTTATGTCTGTCTCTATTTCTCGGTGTAGTATGTTCTTTGATCTTCCTCTCCTCCTTTGACCTTTAGGATTCCATGTGAGGGCTTGTCTTGTGACGCAATCACATGATTTAATCAAAGTGTGCCCAATCCACTTCCAGCGCTTCTTCCTGATTTCTTCCTCCACTGAATTCTGGTTTATCCTGTCCCAGAGTAACTTGTTGCTGATAGTGTCTGGCAAACGGATCCGAAGTATCTTGGCTAGATAACTGTTAATAAACACTTGTATCTTCTGGATAATGGCTTTCGTAGTTCTCCAGGTTTTTGCTCCATACAGTAGAACTGTCTTGACATTTGTATTGAAAATTCTGATCTTGGTGTTAGTTGACAATAGTTTTGATTTCCAGATGTTCTTCAGTTGTAAATATGCTGCTCTTGCTTTGCCGATCGGTGACTTTACATCTATCTGCATCATATCCACCGAGTTCATCAATGGTGCTGCCCAGATATGTAAAGGCTTCCACATCGTCCAAGTGAGATTCGATTGGTGCAATAATGGTGTATTGACTTAAAGTCAATCAATTTGCAACATCCTTTGACCATCTTCAATTGCACATGGTGAGCCCACTGTCGTCTCACACTTAACATCGTTGTATTAGTTAATCATGACTCCTTACTAGAATTCCTGTAATTCTCATCAAGACGTTGGTTACTAATTAGCACACGATTTTTGAGATTGTATAGTAGTATAATCAAATAGTTTCTATATACCTCGTATACTGAAGTCCAACTGTTAGTTGATTAGGACATTGATTGAAAGATTGATGTACTTTGTTCTCTATCCATAGTATGAAAGGGTCTCCTTTCTGTCGTCATTATTATTGTAACTCAGAAATTTGTTATAAAAGATCTATGAATGACTAATTCAGTCACAAATATATTTCGATTAAGATTTCATTTCAATGTTCCATAGAAATGGTTACCATGTAGTGAAGGAAAACAAATGTTTCAACAATCGTTTGTACTAGTGATATCATTCAGAATGACGATGAAAACTCTACGACCAAACCATTCAGCTTAGAGAATAAAACTCTATCAAAATCATCCACCTGAGGTACAAATCTTCTCCACTATCTCACAATTGTATACATCAATTATAGAATATCTTCATAAAATCTAAGCACTATATATATAGCACTATATAGATTTGGGACGAAGAACATGCACCAACAGACTGGAAAGAAGGACTTCTCATCAAGATACCAAAGAAAGGCGATCTGAGCAAGTGCGACAACTACAGGGGCATCACTCTCCTCTCAATACCAGGAAAAGACTTCAACAGAGTATTGTTAAACAGGATGAAGGATTCCGTGGACGCTCAACTTCGAGATCAACAAGCTGGATTTCGTAAGGATAGATCGTGCACAGATCAAATCGCAACTCTACGTATCATTGTGGAACAATCAATCGAATGGAATTCATCACTGTACATCAACTTCATCGACTACGAGAAAGCATTTGATAGCGTGGACAGGACGACACTATGGAAGCTTCTTCGACACTACGGCGTGCCTGAGAAGATAGTCAACATCATACGGAACTCCTATGATGGACTAAACTGCCAAATCGTCCACGGAGGACAACTCACCGACTCGTTCGAGGTAAAGACCGGTATTAGGCAAGGTTGCCTACTCTCACCCTTTCTCTTTCTCCTGGTGATCGACTGGATTATGAAGAACATCTGGAGGAATGCACGGGATACAGTGGACAGGCAGGATGCAGCTTGACGATTTAGACTTCGCGGATGATCTGGCTCTTCTATCACAAACGCAACAACAAATGCAGGAGAAAACGACCAGTGTAGCAGCAGCCTCAGCGGCAGTAGGTCTCAATATAAACAAAGGGAAAAGCAAGACTCTCCGATACAATACAATATGCCCCAATCCAATTACACTTGACTGAGAAGCTTTGGAGGATGTGGAAATCTTTACATATCTGGGCAGCACCATTGATGAACTCGGTGGATATGATGCAGATAGATGTAAAGTCACCGATCGGCAAAGCAAGAGCAGCATATTTACAACTGAAGAACATCTGGAAATCAAAACTATTGTCAACTAACACCAAGATCAGAATTTTCAATACAAATGTCAAGACAGTTCTACTGTATGGAGCAAAAACCTGGAGAACTACGAAAGCCATTATCCAGAAGATACAAGTGTTTATTAACAGTTATCTAGCCAAGATACTTCGGATCCGTTTGCCAGACACTATCAGCAACAAGTTACTCTGGGACAGGATAAACCAGAATTCAGTGGAGGAAGAAATCAGGAAGAAGCGCTGGAAGTGGATTGGGCACACTTTGATTAAATCATGTGATTGCGTCACAAGACAAGCCCTCACATGGAATCCTAAAGGTCAAAGGAGGAGAGGAAGATCAAAGAACATACTACACCGAGAAATAGAGACAGACATAAGAAGAATGAAAAAAACGGGATAGAACTAGAAAAGAAGGCCCAGGACAGAGTGGATTTGAGAAAGCTGGTCGGTGGCCTATGCTCCATTGGGAGTAACAGGCGTAAGTGAAGTGAAGTGACTATATAGTGAATACTTCATCTACAAAATATCTGTCAATTGTCTCAAACTTTGTTTTCATAGTTGAAATCGTGAGTCAATTGAAGCTAGACCTCTATGGAAAACCTGGAAGCACTGGACGGCCGTTTCGTTCTATTATAGGACTCTTCAGCAGTGCGCATTGGTTGAGGTTAGACATTAACAACGTTGGATGCCGGCTCAGTGGTCTATCGATTAAGTGCTCCGGCGTGAAACTGATAGGCCCTGAGTTCGAAACTCGCAAGGCGGGATCGTGGATGCACGCTACTGAGTAGTTCCACAATAGGACGAAACGGCCTTACAGTGCTTCCAGGTTTTCCGTGGTGGTCTAGCTTCAATTGACTCATGATTTCAACTATGAAAATACTGAAATCTCGACAAAACCTCTTCTGGTCTTTAGACTTTTTTGTTCCTTCGTTTTTATACTAAACACTTTCTCTTCTCTTCAATTTTCTCAACTTTTCTATCGTTAAGCATATCAATTTCGGTTAGTAATATATACTACTTAAATTTATTGATATTAGTAGTATACATTATAACCTGTCATAATTTTATTATGGTCGATGTACCAAAATAATATCACATCAGAAACTGGTAACAAGATATAAATTCATTTAGTATTGTTTGTTTGAATGTTCCCATCGATGTTTAGAACTGCAACTGGTCAATCTTTAATTGGCATATGTGCATACTGTACTGCCTCAATTCACAAGCATTGTAAGCAAAGATGGATAGTATGCAGTATGCACAGTATGCACATATGCCAATAAGAAAGAGACTGATCAATTTCAGTCCTAAATATCAATGTGGAAGATTTAAACAAATAATACTAATTGAATTTAAACTTCACCACATTGTATAAGTAAGTGGTTATCAGGACTCAGTAGCTCAGTGAATAGCGTGATGGCGTTTATAGTAAACAGTACTCCATTCGAGTCCCAGACTAAACATCAACTATTAGATGTCGGTACATCCAGTTGACGAGTCCCAAATGGGACGAAACGCTTGTCAAACTAGATTTCACTGCTATCCACTATCCATCTTTGCATATAAACTGTTTCGTTTATATATTTAGTAATCTAAATGTTTATTAATCAACATAAATTTCGTTAATATAATGAGAAGATGAAGTTTATCAGAAGAAATCAAAATAGTCTCTTATTATAATTCATCTTATACCTATTCATCTTATGAATAAAGTTACATAGTTAATATTGATTATAATATAAATAATAATTAATATTAGAAAGGGTTTTTGTGGATATTGTGCTCACTAGTGACTGGCTCCAAGAGGTATTTCCTGGAGTTCTAGTGTGAAACAGTGATCAGTGGGGTTCAACCAGGTCTGTTGTGAGATAGTAACTTACTGAAGACATTGGTGGATGTGTCGCTCAATTTCGTGGATTGGTTGATGTTAGACAATAACATCGTTGGATACCTATTGCTCATTGGTCTACAGGTTAAACGTTCGCATACAAGGCCGATATATCCTAGATTCAAATCTCACGTGCGATATCGTGGATGCATACTGTTGAGAAGTCCCATACTAAGATAAAACGGTTCGATCGACCAAACCATTCAGCTAAGAGAACAAAATTCCATCTAAATCGTCTACCTGAACTACAAATCTTCTCCACTATCTCAAAAAGATAAATTATCTCATCTAATGAACTCAATGTGCATTTACCAATTTACCTGCTCATATGAATCCAGGTATATAGGTCGGTCAATGAGTAATTTATTCAAAAAAGAATTCAACAACATTATTCAGCGTGGTTAATAAGAAGAAGAGGAACCGGCTGAATGAAAAGTTTAATTACTGAACACCTTGTGAACATAGATCACTCAATCAAGACAGACTCTGTGTTCAAACTCATCTGAAAAGGTGAGTAGAAGTCTTTCAATGACAATTATATTATATCATCTTAACATTGCTGAAGCCATAGCCATACAACTGG